ACCAGATACGAATGTACGCGGTGGCAATAGCCTAGAGCTCCCACCACTTTCTTCCTAGATCCAGCGGAAGAAATACTACAGACGATTGCGTTGGCTCCAGTTTCAGCAGAGCTTGCGACCGTTGATCGTTTAGTCCGACCGCCTAGGTTACAAAACATCCCCGAACTTGTGAATTTGTGAAATTTATTATGACGGGATATAAATTTGTAGATGTTGTAAATCTGAAAATAGAGATGGGACAAAATTTGATTTTTCTTTTGGTTTTGTCTGACTTTTTCGAGGATTTCAAATCTCTGTTTGCATATTTAGGATTATTTTTTTCGTATAACTTTTAACCAATTAGAACGTTCAATTTAGTTAAGTTACCTCGAATAATTTCGATAATACCTGATTATACATAGAGTAGCTCCACCAATCAAAAATATTTACAATAATTTCATTTCCGTAGTAACCACATCGACAACAATACACTAACTAACAGGACCGTCAAATTTTGACGTTTATCAATAATTAATAATTGTAATTTTCATTGTACCAATATGTATTTAAATTAATAAATTGTTGATATTTACTTAATTTACTCAAAAAATAATCGTATCAAATACAATACGTACTTCAAAATAAATACGGTTATACATCTCAAACTTCCTGCATAATTACAAATCGTGTCAGTTTGACAGAATAATCCTCCCGCTTCGCGGTCGGATTATTTAAACTGTCAAACTGACACTCTTTATAATTATGCAACAAGTTATCGATGTATAACCTGATTATTTTGAAGTACTTATAGTATTACTACTGAGTATAAAAAATTCTAAGTCTTATAAATAATTTAAAGGTGTACATTTTCGCAAATTGTTGGAAAGGATGACCAAATTCTAATTTACTCATCTCAAAAAGGTATGCGTTGGAAATTCCAGGCTTAGTTGACAAACTATCAAATAGAGATATAAATATTTTTTCTAATTTGAAAATATAAAAGAGAAATTTTTCGCTGGGAGATTTTAAATTGCCAAACACCTTTTCTTCAGAGTCGTATGCTATAAAATGCGTTAACAAGTTAGAATTGTTAAGTAAATTGTATTCTTCTGAGAAATATACGCAAATTTCGCAAGAGTGGATGATATATAATGATTTTTTGATTAAATATCCACATACATAGTTAAATGGATTTTGAGTGGTCACATTTAGCTCCCTGTAGTCACATTCAGAAATCGTTATTGCCCCAACTGATTGTTTTGAAATATATTTAATTTTCATTAAGCGGAGAACTTGTTTACCCAAGGGAAAAACGAATCCCAGGATTCCTTTCCAGTGTGTGCCCCACTGCCGCTAGTGCCCACGAGCCTCCACTGGTGTCAGCAGAGGTAGCTGGATCCTCATCCTTTTGGCAATGCCCAAAGACGCTTGTTCTGGGAACATTGTATCTTCTGGCTGCTTGTAAATACCCCAAATTTTGTTCTTTGACAGTACGGATTCCCTTTACCGTACCCTCTTTTTCATAACACTTTCTTTTTAGGCTCATTTTTAAAGCCATGCTGAAACAAGAAAAATGATAACTTAACACGATATTTATACAAACAAAATAATTATAACCCAAACTAAAACAGAATTAGCATTATTTAATTTAAAAACAAATAGAGCATTTATTTTGTGGCTACAAAATATCATAATTTAAATATTAAATAATAAAGGGGGTTGGCTGTTTTTTCTTATTTTGGTCTATTCCATATTAATGATCTATTCCATATTTGTCGCCTTCCTCTAGTAATAACGTAACGACATATACCAAAATCTAAAAGAACTATTACGTTTGTAATGAAAAATACAACCCTGGTTACAATCGCGTTGAAATTGAAATTACAGTTAGCCGGGTTACTCCCACTCCATTTTTTTTGCGAGAACGACTTTGTCGCTTCTTTGTGGTTTTCTTCTCAGGTCTAGTTTTTATATTTTTACATAATAAATCAACATGTATTTGGCCATGTTTATAAAATATAACAATATCATACTTGTTTTTAGCCAATAAATGATTTCTTTAAATCAAATCAAAAAGACAAACCCAACAACTCGAGAAAATTTCACGTTCAGAAACCGCAATAGCGCGTTCTGTTTCTGTATCTAAAAACGACCATAACATCCGAAATATTCAGAAGTGGTTATCCTTTTATGTATGTATACGAGATTATTCAACACTCCGCTCCATTCCGGCCTCTTTATCTTTCTTTATATTATGGGTTCACGCCATTTTGACACATGTAGATGCCGAAACATTGCTCAGACGTGGCATAGCAAATAAGGTGCCAATTTCAGCTGCCGTGTGTTTTCGTTTTTTTTGCGAGAATATTAGCGGATGTGAGGAAAATTTTATCGTTTGAATCTGGATTCAGTTTCATGTTTTGGTTTATTCACCCCGACTTTTTTGTGAGAATACGGAGGGTTTTAAGTAAGGAAGAAATTTTAATATGCAGGATGACTAAAATGTAATTAAACACTATTGGGATTTCGTTTGTGATAGTAATTCCAGTAAAAGTGTAAAAATGGATGCTTTTAAATCAAAAATGCCACTTTACCCTATTAGTAGCTATTAGATATTCATAATTTAAACCCATAAATGCAATTAAAATAAAGTTAATTTGTTACCTTTTTTAAAAGCAGATTTCCAAACGGATGGTAAGGTGTGATATTGAATGGATGACGTCATAATTTGCGATAGAGGTACTTTCAAAACTCTTGAACATTAAAAAAAAAGAAAGAAATACAGCCAGCGTTAGCTTTAAGTTTTTGCATTATATATAATTTAATAAAAAATTTAATAAAAGTGTGTTAATAAAATGCAAAACTCTATAACCTACAAATATATCCAAATGAACGCCAGTGAAATATTTGACAGAATTGACAACAATATTGTAATATCATTTGTATCAATTTTTAGACGAAAAAAATTTCATTTTTTTACGCCCTATCTTTAAAGTACCTTGTACTGTTTATGGTTTATGGTTAGACTGAAAAAAAAGTAAAAAAGCGTTAAAAAAGTGCCATTACGTTAATTTAATTTCACGCTGTCCATAAGCTAATACAGTGGATTAGTGCAATTGTTCCACACCTTACCGGAAAAAATAGCAGTTTATGCAACAAGAGTGGATATGGACAATTCACTCGAGTTGTACAGTATATTTTTTCTACGACCCACTAACGAAAATCTATAAATATAAAAAATTATTTTAGGTTATTAAGATGAAATAATTTAAAAATACTTTATGACTTTTACTAATTTGTAAAATAAAATAAACAAGAAAAGAAAAAGGAAAAAAAATCATTTCATTTTTCTCCATCTGAGATTCGAACTCGAGTCATCCATGTGGAAGGCAAGAACGCTGACACAGGACCATCTACGCGTTTATGTTTTGCTTTAATACTCATAATGAAATTGACTTCATATAGTTTTATTTAAATTAAATTAATTAAAAATAGAAATTCTATTATTTATCGATTCTACACAATAATAACTCATTTTAATGTATGTTTAAACTCAATAACTAATAAATATACTGACAATTGTCACTTATTTAAAATTATAAAAATAATAGCAGTCGGTTGATCAAAATATGTACTGTGATTGGCGGATTTAATTTTTTTGTAGTGTTCTCACTACCTAGAATGGATATGAAATATATTCGTTCAGTTGAAGACAATAGCATACTTTTTTGTTTTGTAATCTGTGCGTAGATAAGCTAATATCCACGTATTTGTAGAAAAAATCAAGTCATCTTTGACGTTGACAGTACATGGACTGTAACTGATTTGACGTTAACAAATTTGTTTATAGTATCAATAATTCGACTTGTTTTAATTTGGTAGTTTTTCATTATTATTATTATTATTATTATTATTATGGATGGTGAAGATTCTGAATTTGAAATATGTACTCCCGAAGAAATCATAAAAAAGACAAATGTGGCCACATTAAATTTGTTGCCGGAGAAATCCAAAAAAAAATTATCTAAACGAATATGAAACTTTTATGAAATAGCGGAACTAGAATAATATTCATAGCTTTACAGAGAGGGTGCTATTAGTTTTTTTTAAAGAAGGGTCTAAAAATTTCAAGTCTTCTGCATTATGGTCAAACTATTCTAAACTAAAAGCAACCTTAATTATTAGTGATAACGTTGATTCTAAACTAATAGAATTTCCGAAGAAGTTTAATTAAAATATTTCAAATTATTATTTTCATTTTATTATTTGTATAGGGATGTAGAAAAAATATTGTATGCATAAAGTGTATTTTTTTCACTATGGAATTACCGCACTCACCTCACGGCTTGTGCGATCAACTTTTCCATTCATGGAAAAAGTACCTCTTTATTCACTTGTTGTATAAATTACTATTTTTTTGTCAAAAACCGTTTTGTCTTAAGTAGTTTTTGTTAACAATATGTCTTCTATTAGCGAAAGTGAAGATAAAATACTGAGTAATCCACCAGAGCTTATTTTGAAAAAACAAAAATCATTTGTTGCCAATAAAATCAAAAGAAAGAGTTAAAAAATAACTTACATAAAATTTATAGATTGGCGATATAAAAATAAGTTTAAATCCTTTTCCGAAAACATCTCTATGATGAGGAACTCTTTTTTTTTAATTTATTTAAAATGGGTTGTCCTAGAAAAATTGTTGTGAGTTCATTTCGGACCTAAAATAGGCTGCTTACAAGTCTTGCTACGTTATAAAATTTGCAAAATATATTAAATACACTAGCGAAAATATTATTAAAAGGATACTAATCTCAGGATAAGAATTAAACATTTTTACTGATACTGTACCTTCAAAGAATGTGTACAGAAGGCGTGAAAACGCATGTCAATCGAACACTAATATCTGTTGTTTCTTGAAAGGTGTGCCAATTCCTAACCAAAAAATAACTGGTCAAATTATTTAGAAACAACTACTGAAATTACACTATATACTATGTTTATTTCAACAATATCTTTTGTTTCAGTTGGATACAGACCTGGTTTTTGACAGTCAAGAACACCTAAAACACGAAAACCAGCAAAGGCCGAAAAGAACATTAGAAATAGAAAACAATTCTAGTCCGCCAGTAGAAGAACATTGGCTTACAAGTACTGTAGATAGGATAAAAAGAAGCATAGATAGCATATTTTCGAAGGATACTCACCAAGAGAAATTAGGCCATAAACAGGCACAGAAACAACCCCATCATCGCAGCACAACGAGTAGAAAACACCAAAACAAGTCTAGGGCTGGAAGAAATCACCGACAAGTTGATGACTACGGGGAAGAAGCTGAAGAATATGACGAAGTAAGTACTGCTGATAATTTTATTTGTTTAAAGAAATCGAGCCTTAGTAAACACATAAATATAGTATGGACTTTTGGAAAAAATCCTGTAATAGGTCAATTTTTATTATTCAAATTTATTGAAGGAAATATTATCTTCTTCTAAACTAACACCATTCTCCATATATCTAAAAATGTATATCTATATTTCTTTACTTTTTATTCTTTGAATTTTACTATCGTATTTACTTTGTTTGTTTTAATTGACACATCAAATAAATTTTGTTTCCAAGATCACATTCATTAGTTCCAATATTTACTCAGCTGAGTTTTATGACATGCGTTTGAATGTATTAAGTCACTTACGATATGGTGGAAATCAGCACTAAATGAGTTCCACATTGCTTCTGGTTTATCAAGTCATGAAATAATGATAAGTAAAGAACTTATTTCCCAATACTGAGCCAAATAATTATTGCGTTTAACCAATGTTATATGGCTTTCCAGAGTAGTGTTATGGAAAAATCTCTTGTCAAACTCATCTAAGGATTAGGTTCAAGCAGTTGTTGCTCTTAAAATCTATTATGTCTCCTATGAACTTCTCGTATATTGCCTCCTTCAGTACACAGACTTCTTGAAGATCGGCTTCAAAGATTTGTTCAACATATTCTACCATTTTCGCCTTTTTTCACCATTCAGAATTTATATTTCTATATCCATTGTAAAGTCAGCTTTAGTGTATATAATCGAATACAACCGTTCTTTAGCAAGCAGGCTTCTTGAAAATGATCTCCAGTTGAGTTACAGCCAAGACAACTATTGGACCTCTTTCCAAAACGAATTAGTCTTATGAAGAATATATTTATGTAGAGGACTTTTTCCTGAGGTTGAGGTTTAATTTCTTTTTTTAGTATTGTTCCATTTAAGTTTGCTTTAGTTCCTTTGTTGGTTTTGGATCTTTTAAATAACTGAAAGTTTATTACAACCTGCCTATGATGTCATTCCCTTTCGGTATGACGTAGCATCAAATCCTTGCAAAGTAATTTTTATAACATAGTTGTTCAAAGTTATATGGCTTTCCAGGGTAACGTTATAGTAAAATATCTTGTCAAACAGATTACGGTACTTAAAATGCATTAAATTTTCTTTGATCTTCTTGAAAACTGTCTCCATGGTTTTTTTCAGTGTCTCAACCCTCCTTTACCACGCAGATTTTTTGAAGGTCTTTGCTAAGGAGTTTTTCAACACAAGCCACCAACTTTACCGTTTTTTCGCTAAGTAACCTTCAGTCTTTTTTTAGTCTTGTCTGAAAAACTGTTTTATTGACACCCTGCCTATATATTTTTCTTTCGGTATGATCTGTAGAAATCAAAGAGTCTTAAAACTCTGCAAAGGAGTTTTTACAAAATAATTTTCCGATAAATGTAAACGTCCTTGAATCTAAGAAGAGTAAAGGTAAAGGTAAAAAAATCATCCCTAGGACGAAACTCTATCTTATTATTACATCTAGGCTCAAAACAAAATTGAACAAGGTCAGGAAGAAGGTCAGACTGGTGACGGCCAAGAAGGTCAAGGTCAAGAAGAGGACGAATACGACGATGAAACTGAAAATAACCAGGGTCAAGGTCAAGAAGGGGACGTATACATAAATGAACCGAACATTAACCAAGGCCAAAGTGGCCAAGTGGACGTGGACGAAGGACAATTTTCGGAATTAGATATAGGCGAGGGTAAGGAGGAAGGTGGCCAGGAAGGTGGCCAGGAAGGTCAGGTGGATAAGGATTACGTAAGTTAAATGGATAAGGATGTTTTTGTTCAACACCAGCATCAACATTATCACCGACCATCTTTTTTTCGACCAGTTATTATGGTTTATTCGATACATTTATACCATTGACCATTGGTGAAGCATGCTGGACATCCAAGGATTTTTTATATTTTTTCTGGCAATCATATTTTTCTGATGGGAGTTTGGAGTTAATATTTAATATCTTTTTAAGTTTCATTTCTTTACACTAATAGCTATTTATATTCTTTCTATTCTGACTGTCCACTATTTGAAACAATTTCTGCTGTTACAGCAATATTTAACATAAATTAGTTCGGTGTAAACATTGAATAGTATATTGAAATATAAGTTGCAGAAGGCCACATAGAAGAACCCTCTGCAACGTGTGCAACTAACTTAGTGTTACCAACTGACATATTTAAAAAAAAAAATCCCCAATTAACAACGAGAAAATAGTATAAAACACACGCTGCAGAAGTCTATTCTCGCATTCATTCGCTCGTGGCCAAATTTCGAATTCGTGCGGGAATATGTGATCTTCTGCAACTTGTATTTTAATATACATACTATACTAGCACAGTAGTAAATATTAACGGAAAGATACTGAAAAAATTGTCACCAAAAAATCGTTTAAGAATGAGCTTAATTTTTCAACGATTTTGCGTGTGAGAATATGACATTCTTACAGAAAAGTTTTATTCATTTTAAAAAAATAGTAATTTTCCGAAACTGTATTCTATTACAGTTTTTTTACAGTAAAAACGCGTATTAATTTACTTGCAACAGCAGAAATTATAATAATTTTCAAAACTAACCAGTTTCTTTTTCTATGATGATTTTGGTTTCCTTTGATTGGTGGTGGTAAATAGCAATTCATAAAGAAAATAATGAAAAAATATATAACTATCCGATTTGTTCTAATAGTTCTAATATCACGTCCAATATATTAAAATTGTTTAAAATAGGCTTTTATATTAACAATCGCTACAAGGGGTATGCGATAGTTTGGTAAAAAATATAAAAAAGACATTTTAAATAGTCGACAGAATTTTTCCAACTTTTCAAATATCCCTTGCATTCTTTATTAACAATATTAGTGTTGTACAGTTTCTAACATCGTACATTTTATAGGAAGAGGTGGATGAAGAGTATGATGAAGTGAGTTAAAATGAGGATCGTTTATGTTTGCAATAACTACACTGCTAAAACTACAGAAAGGGGTAGAATAACGAACGATTTTAAAAAGTCTGTATAAAAGAAGAAAATCAAGTTTTACAAATAAATTTAGTATTTTATTAAAGAGCATAAGAAAGCAACAATGATTTTAGTTTTTGAAAATAACTTTGGGAAGATGACGTCCGTTACATTCTTCCTAACGTGATTTGAAATTATTCCTTACGTTCCGCAGCATTGCCAGGGGAATTTGGTCCACTTCCTGTCGGATGCATCCACATGAAAAATCGCACGTTGTGAAGTCCGGAAAACGGGGAGGCCAAGTGATGTCCCCGTTTCGAGAAGTGACATGATTTGGAAATAACCCATTGACAATAAAACGTCTTTCAGAATGTACGCGTGCTGCTGAAGGGTTCACCGCTCTATTGTTACTAAATGCTAATACGCAGAAAACATGGTCAATCGCATCCTTACCACCTCCTAACGATAAGGCGCGATTGGAGGATTTTTAAAATCGTTCGTTATTTTGCCCCACCCTGTACAGGATTTTTCATTATAATTTGACCACTACTTATTTTCATTATTCTCGTGAACACAAAAAAAAGTTTCAAGTAAAAGCTTTTATGTTTTACCTCAACTTTTTCGGCCACAGTATAACCCATTACAAGCAATCAATTGACAAGTTTTAATAAACAAACAACTGTTTCACTTGGAAACAAAATTTTCATGTTACACTTTCATAGTGCAATAAGTCACTAAATTATTAAAATATATTTTATATTTGTAATCAGGAAATGCAAGTCTACTTAAAATGTCAAAAATATATATATGGTGTCCCATTAAAAAATGAAATTATATTTTTTTTGGAGGTATATACAATTCTATTACATTTTTAGTTGGTACAGGTAAAACAATAAAGTTTTTACTTAAAACTTTTTTGTGTTTACAATAATAATGTAAATAAGTAGCGGTCAAAATATAATGAAAAACCCTGTACATTATTAACATATATTTTGAGAAAAAACAATAGAAAAACAAAAGAAAAAGGGTGTCTTTATTGTTGAACTTAATTAATAACAATTAAAATTTATTAAAATATAACATAGTTTTTAAATGCAATAATTAGTAAGAATGAATTAATACAAAGATTGGTTAAAAGGTTTCTTAAGATCAGTGGCGGCTCGTCACCAAAATATTGTGTTTCACAATGACAGAATATAGATTTCAGTACAGATGTAGGTAAACAACTTTTTTGTGCTTTAAAAAGATACCTTTCCAAACCAGGGTGTCCCATTAGTGGGTAATTGTTTAATATTTTAATTTTGTGTTATAGACAAACAAGTTTCAAATAAAAATTATATGAATTTAAAAAATACATATTTTAAAAATATTTTTGGATATACAGGTTGTTGCGTTTTTGCTGTATGTTTTTTTAAATTAATTGCCCTATATTTTATTTCAGTTTTAGTATGGTTTGGTAATACTGTATTCAACCTTAGAATTTTTCTTCAAAATATTACGAGGTTACCAAGAAATTAATTTTTTATAAAATAAGAGAACGATGCAGTCCCCAAAATAAATTATCATAATTTAGGCAGGTTTACATTGATTTCAAAATTGTTTAGAATACAGACTTATAAGATACTAATCTAACGAATAGTGGTGATAGAACTGGTTTATTTTTCACAGAGTGTTTTGAATCATGTCTTAAATATGGCTAATTTTAAGTTCAATTTACTAAATTTTTTCAAATGCAACAACCTGTATATTATTTTAGCATATGAATTTACCTATTCAACATGTTGGCCACTAACACATATACAGTGTGTACCATTATTATTAAATATAAAGGGTGGCCCATAAATGAGGGGCTGACCAAACCTATACTTTTTAAAGCAAAACACCCTGCAGGTAGTTTATACATATTTGATTTTTTTCATATTATTGAACACTTTTATTAGAATTCAATTATTTTCTATTTCGTATACAGGGTGTGTCAAAATACGAGGTTACGATTTTCTCAATTGTTCAAATGGAATAGCCTGTATGTTATGCCACCAATTATTTAATACCAAAATTAATTAATGATGTGAAAACAATCAAAAAAGTATAAACTACCTGCAGGGTGTTTTGCTTTAAGAAAGTATAGGTTTGGTCAGAACTTCATTAATGGACCACCCTGTGTATTTAAGAATAATACAACTTTTATATTACCTAAGTTTTTTTTCGTATTTCCAATATTAAAACAGCTCTAGATCAACTACGTATTAATGGTATATGTGTTATTGGCTAACATGTTAACATCGTTGAATAGGTAATTTCATAAGGAATTTTATGCTTAAAGAATATACAGGGTGTTGAATTTGAAAAAATTTAGTAAATTGAACTTAAAATTAGCCATATTTAAGACATTTTTCAAAACACTCTATATAAAATAAATCAGTTCTATCACCACTATTCGTTAGCTTAGTATCTTATTAGTCTGTTTACTAAACAATTTTGAAATCAATGTAAACCTACCTAAATTATCATAATTTATTTTGGGGACTGCATCGTTTCTAATTTCTTAAAATAATTAATTTCTTGACAACTTTGTAATGTTTTGAAAAAAATTCTAGGGTTGCATTTAGTATTACCAAACCATGCTAAAACTGAACTAAAATATTTAAAAAATATACATTTTTATTTGCCAGGCAAAAACGCAACACCCTGTATATCCAAAAATATTTTTAAAATACGTATTTTTTAAATTCATATAACTTTTATTTGAAACTTGTTTGCGTATCTATAACACAAATTGAAATATTGAACAAATACGTACTAATGGTATACCCTGTATAAATATTTATTAGAAATTCTTGTAAATTTTACGGCCCTATAATTTTTTATCAAAATTCTTACGAATGGGAGTTACCCCCTAAGGGATTTTACATACAAGGCCATTAATGTGTATGGAAACGATTGATTCGCTTCTAAAGTAAGATAGCTAGCGAAAAATGTTAAATACAAAAGTTTTAGGGTTATCTTAAATACTTATACACTACAGACAAATTAGGTATACAGGGTCAGTCTTAACAAAGTTGCTTTTTCGTTCATGTAACACCCTGTATATTATTCCATATTTCAATTAATTAAAATTTTATTTAGAATATTGAGGTGACTAGAATAATATACAGGATGTTCCATTAAAGAAAAAGCAAATTGTGTTTCGTCATAACTTTTTGACTGACCTTGTATGCCTAATTTTTCTTTACTGTAATGGATTTTAAAAAACCCTGAAACTTTTGTGTCTAGTAGAAGTGTGTAAGGTTACTCATGACTCACCATGTATTTGATCTATTTACTCAATAAAATTATTTTGGCAGATTCATAACTAGAAATTCTGCAGTCTTAAGAAACCTATCAACCAATTATAATACTAGCATGTGGTTAATTAATACAACTAAAATGACCTTTAACAAATCAAAATTGAAATCCTACAAAATAACTTCAAAATAAACAAAAATAAACCAAATTTTTAATATTTACCAATTTAAAAGGTATTTAAATTTTTATTAACAACAGATCCACGCTTATTGCGATTTCAAGAGTTGTATTCATTAGATTACATCACGAAACACTGAAATACAAAACACACTAAACGAATTTATAATAATTTTATCAATTTTTTGTGTTCTTTTCAATAGAGAAAGCCAACTTTTGTTAAAATTAATTTTGGAGTTTTGTTTGTGGGAGATAAGAGTTTTTTTTGTCCCGCTTTGTATAGTATTTAAATAAATTTCGTACTTACTGTTATGTAATTAATATGAAGTTAATACAATGCTGTATAATCAGAGTGAAATAGTTTACTTAAGAAGTTTAGTTATCAACCTATACGACAATTTTTTAGCATTAAGCAAGGCTGTATTAAAAATCACTGCTTTTATTTACCTACAATTGTTTATCATTTTTATAATCTTCTAATTTTTATTTTCTGTTTTTAGGACAACTTCAATGAGAATGAAGTAAGTACTTTTATATACTAATTATTAATAATATTTTTTATTTAATTCATAAAAAAAACTTAATTAATCAATTTTTAAAAAAATTTTATATTATTTTTGACTTTATGTTTCTGACCTTATGAATAATTAATATAATTATAGACTGTGGTATCCAGGTTGTTCCTAAATGGACTTGTTATCTGAGCTTTTTATAAATATATATCTTTATTGTCCACACTAGAGTAAGCCAGTTGCTAATAATGCCATTGGATAGGATTCTAATAACTTTTTGAAAACTTTCAATATCAAAATTCAGGGACCTCATGCATCTAAACCCTTGGTGGTAATCTTCTAGGCTGAAGTAACACCAATTTATGTCTTTTCACAAATCCTTTTAAACTAATCTTTTTTAGACTCTTAAATGGTTATCATGATGTCAAAGTTTGTTAGAAAACGATGAAGCAAACTTACTTATAATAAAAAAAGTTGAGGAGATCCCATCATACATATTATTTTTATATCAAGATGTTAAAAAAATATTAAAGGGACAAGATATCAACATAAACTAAGGCTGCTTAAAAACTCTAAAATAACTTTAAAAGGCTAAAGACAAATCTTATTGCTAAATTTTGTAAGAAATAACTATTTTCGAAACATTTAAATTTGATGCCAGAAGTATTCTTGTGTACAGCTAGGGATGCCACAATCTTAGACCTTACGTATTAGTATTAGTAAGCCTTGAATCAAATCCTAACTCAAAATATACGAGGCTTGTTCAATTAAAACCCACCTTTAATAAAATTAAAATGTTTTTGACATGCGTTTCAATCACTGAACTTCCCATCAGTGGAACGCTACACAATCCTGCCGACCTAATAAAAAATGGCACTACAACATATGCGTGTTACGGAGTTTTTGGAGAAAATCCATCGAAAATTACACATATTCGTTATGGATTGCCTTTATTAATTATCAGGACTGGATCGCCTCCGCTGCCCATCTATTTTTTATTATGATATTTTCTTATCTTGAACTTGCTTACTCTAAAATTAATTTCAATGGAGCTGCAGTGGATATATTCTGTAATTTGATTAAGGAATTTGAATGTGTCAATCATACAGTTAGAGAATTGAAGACTAAGCGCTGATAAAATCCTATCTTTCAGAACGTAAGCAAATGGTAAGAACTACTAAGGATTCTAAAGTTTTAGATAAAAGTTTCATTTTATTCCTTCTTTATGTAAATTAATTAACTCAACTTAAGATTGCATGTACTTCCACTCAATTTGTTAAAGACACTACTATTTTATAACACAACAACTGTATGGCACAGCAACTTTATAACACCATATCTTATGATATTAAACAAATCAAAGTATGGTACGACGCTAACTTTTGTGTCTAAATATGGAAAAACAAAAATACTAATTCTTGTACAACCTTTATATATCATTGAATATACTGATACAATAAAACTTCTGGGGCAGCGGCTTAGCAGATTCACTATTGTGTATCGATATCTGCAGTCAAGCAGAGTCGCCCGCCATTAGTACTTGGATGTAAGTATATCCAAGGAAAGTCGGCGTTTCTAAAAAAGCCTGAATACCCGCGTAGTTGCATAACATAGCTGGCAGGCGTAATTATTAGTTTGTTTCTTTAAAAATTTTGAAATTCCTAAAAATCAAATGTCACTTTCTCTCTCTCTCTCTCTACTCGACACGTAACGTGTCGAGTTAGCACATAAGAATCCTTTTTCTGGATTACATCAGCCGGCCATTTACTGGTCACTTGATCTATCAACAGTACAACATTCTGTTGAATATAAAAAAATTCCTATTTGGATAACAATGACATATAAACAAAGGGCTAACTAAAATTGGTATGCGAAAATCTATCATAAAAAAAGGTTCTAAGTTAATTAGTTTGCATCAACAATAATAAATTTTAAGTAAAGTAACTGCTCAGTTAAAAACTCTACAATCATTGTAGAATGGGTTTCAATTGAACAATCCTAACCATTTTTTATTATTTTCATTTTTTAGTTATTGCTTATTAATAATGATTTTTATTTTTGTTTCAGAATGAAGACAACAAGTGAGTTTTTATCTTAATAAATAACTAATTCTAAAAAATTAAAAAAATAATATATTATAAACATTTAATTTTTTTGGTTTAACAAAATTAAAAGTATATAATTTTTACTTTGTATTAGTAATCCTGATGACGAAGACAGTGAAGGAGATGTGATATCGGGAGACTTTGGCTCTGGAGATGGAGAAGAGACTACACCGAAAGTTGACTATGGCCATCCGAGTAAGTTTAGCATTATTACCTTTTTTCTATTATCAATTTTCCGAAAATTTCTGGCAAATCCAAGAACCCTCAGCAATATTTTTTGATTTAACCAATTTTACATCATAGACACGCTATATACTAAAATGGGGAAAATGAAAATACAACCTCTTATAAAAACAAATATTATGGCTTACACACCACCCCAAAGAAGAATGATCTCTACTAGAGCAGATATCAATTATGATCAGATTATTTTGAATTGCCATTAACAGTGCCCTTGTGGAAAAGCCACGTTCCATGAGGATTCCCTTGTAATTTATACTAAAAGTAGTTATATTTACCGTAATAATTTACCAAATACAATCAAAATTCCTACGTACATTAGAAAAATGGTCCATCATATAAGAGGTTTTTCAATCGAGAACACATATTTAAATTAAAAAAAAAAAGCTTTCCTCAATTTTAACCTTACTTTAAATGGACAAATACCTCAAACAGCTATACTGAGTCATTTCCACATTAGCTTGATCTTATTTTTTATAAATGGTCACCTATTTTTTCAAAAAATGTTATAACAACAGAGTCTTCCCTTTCGAAAAAAAGAGCAAGTGATGTGGTCTTTGGAGGTCAAATTTATGGTATAATTTTTCTTCAAACTTTTCTTGTAGTACTTTCTCAAGGATAAATAAGGTTTATAAATTAAAACTTCAAACGTTGTTTGTGATATCACAGCTTTCGGCTATCCAAAGCCATCCAGTTTGGGTCTGAAAGCTCTGGTATCACAAACAACTTTTGAATGTATAAACCTTATAGTCCGTCAGATAGTGACAGGTTTAGATGGGCCATTTTCGCATACAAGCCTCGAATAGGGTTGAAAAGTACATCGATTTTAAGTAGAATGAAAGAAAATTTACGGGTGGCTGCTGGGGATAACACATGGAAAATTCGATTTTCTTTAACAAAAACGAAAGGTTATTTGTTTTTCATTTTTTCACGCAAGTCGTTTTCACTATATGATTAATTAATAGAACTAGGCTTCGGAAAATTAAAGGCTTTAATTTTGCAAGTGGCTAAACGGTTGAAATAAGGGCGTAATCTTCTTAGGAAAAATCGAGATTTTGCCCGATTTTTCCACACAAACCCATCGAATGTATGAAAACGTACGTCGTCAGTAGTCCCATATTTTAACAGTAGGAAGGATCAACGCTTGCGCACTGACTATTACCACTAACTGTACCTTTAAGACCGCCATCTGTCTGAAAATAATGAAATTATACGTTTCACAACTTGGGAAAATCTAACAGATCCCTTATCCGCGATGTGTAATAGATGCGTACGGGACTCGGGCGGTACGAATCGCCTTCAACGTATTAAGGTCCCTTTGAAGATCAGTATTCCGGCAATACCTAGGGTGCATCGACGATGTTCCTTAATACTTTATTCTGGAAACATTGAATAGCTTTGATGTTACTATTACTGACACAGCCCCAAAGCTGGATACCATACGTCCATACCGATTTCAATATCTGCCTCTAGAGAAGCAGTTGTATGTGAATAATTTGTAATTTTTTCTTAACAAACCAATACATTTTTTTGTATTTTATACCAAGCTCTTCGCATTTTTAATATGGACTTTTCATACCCAGATATTTTGCTCTATTGACAAAAGGAACTTGTGTATCATTTATTCTAATAGGAATACATTCATTTTGTTTATTGCTGAAGTTGATATGGACAGATTTGCCTTTATTTAATTTTATTCTCAATTTTTTCGTCCAGGTGTTAATCTGGTCTATAGATTTTTGCAATTTTCTAATAACTTCTTCGTGATTTTTTCCAACAGCCAGGATTGCAGTATCATCAGCAAATGTTGCCATAGTACTGGGCTCAAGATTAGGAATATCTCTGATATACAACAAGTAGAGTACTGGACCTAGTACACTACCTTGAGATGCTCTTACCTTAATTTCTATTTTTCTGTCTCTTTCTCTTCCTGTTTAATTCTAAAATACCTTTCTAATAAATAGGATTTTAATAGTTCAGAGTATTGACGTGACAGAAACATGTTCAGTTTTTGAATCAAGCCTTCATGCCCATACTTTGTCGTAAGCCTGAGCCACATCTAAAAATATGGTGAAGCAAACTTTTTTCTTCTATGGACTTGTTGATAAAATTTGTGATTCTATTAACTTGGTCGATGGTCGAGTGTTTTTCTCTGTAGCCAAACTGGTGGAAGGGAATTAGGTCCTTTTCTTCTATTACCTGTAGGTTTCAATCTTAAGAAGAATTTTTTCGAGATAACAGGCAACGAGGAGATGGGTATGTATGATGTAACTTCATGTGGAATGTGGAAGTCTACTTGGCTTAAGTATCATTATAAGTTCTGCCACCTTCCACATCTTTGTTACGCACTTTGGTCTAAAGACTAAAGAATGTATTGATAAGATTGGTCATTTTGGCAATAGCTTTCCGTAAAGCATTTTCAAAAGTTTCTTAGTAATGAGGTCAAATCCAAGGGGATTTTCTCAACATTATATTTGTTTGAATTTCCATATAAACTTATTCTGAAGAGGTAGGTTTAACGACTGTGTCTTCATGTTAGTTCCATTTAGTCTTGAATATCTTCACCATTATTGGGTTGGCAGGTACTCTCTAAATGTTTCGCAAATTTGTTAGAAGGCCTTTTTAGTGAATAATCGGTACTTTTATCGTTAGTTAATTCACTTCGCCAATCGACTCATTTTTAATATGTGAACCAAAGAAAGGATTTCAGAAGAATTATAATCAATTGAAATTTGTATTCTTTTTAAGCACCCCTTTTTTACTACGACAAAAAAATATTTAATTCACACATTTTTCTTTTATTTTTCAGGAATATACAGATTCGCCTTTACCGTAATGGAACCGTATTCAAAAGAATACAAGGATCGCAACAGTCGAGAATTCCAACAATTAGCGGATCGCATTAAAACAGCTCTAGATGAAACATTTGCTCAAATACCTGGTCAGCAATTCGTCTCAATAATCAGCATCGAGTAAGTATTATCATACCGAGATAAAAAAGTATCATTAGGTACTATCGAGCAAAACAACATTTGAAATCACAAACCAAGCTAGTGCCTACTTAAGGTTTGAGTAAACAAAAACAATATTTGAATAACAAAACAAAGTTTCGAAAAAACAAATAATTTAAATTTTTTATATAATCAGGACTGGATAAGTAAAAATTAAAAATAGAGTAGAATTAAAGGGTGAAAACCCAATTGTTGGCGCCCTCCCATATGATTGGCACCCAACCCTTTTTTTAATAATACTTAGTTTAAATTCAAGTTATCAATATTTATTTCTTCTTATTTTCAACTGCAATCCCAAACTATAGGTATTTTAGTTGCATTTTTAATGTTGACGAAAAAGGTGCCCATGTAACATTTTTAAGATAATAAAGTTTTATTTATGTTTTATTAGGATTTTATAAAAGCATAAAAATTGATAATTACTTTATTAAAAGTTATTTTTTTTTGCTAATAGGACTACAGGATAAATTGATCTTATTACTTGGTTTTATAGATTCCTTTAAATCTCTTTAAGAAAACTAGTTTATCCTAAAGTAAACTATGCTTTAACGCTGTGCTGTAAGGGTTAATTAATAAGTAATTTTAGAACTATTTTGTTTGAAGATACTCCTAAGGTGTATTTGGTATTAAAGAGGCATACAGTTCATCAAATTTCTAGAGGTGTTCGACGCCCAGACAGAGAACGCGCTACGTGTGACTAAGATAGCTATTGTACAGTCTGCTAAACAAGTTATTTTAAATAGTTTTTAATATTTTTAGGTAATTAAATTTTAAAAGTGTGGAATAGTTTAGGGATTAAATTGGTCTGATTGGACTTTCTTAGAACGTTTTTAAAAGCAGCTAAAGATAGTATGTAGAATTGAAAATAATTATTATGCCATAAAAGGTGTTTTGGAATTCCTTCAACCTTTTGAAATTGAGTCAGAAAATATAAATTTTATAGGATAGCGGAAAATACCTATATTTTTTTTGTAGGCCTTTGTAAATCGTGGAAATAGTTTATATTTTATTTCTACCTTATTAAGGAAAATGGTACCTATTATTAATAACGGTTGTTTCTGAAACATTAGTAAAATTTTCGAAATTTTGTTTTTCTACAAAATAATAAACTATACTATTTAGAAAAAAATTTATTTCTCTTATAATTTTATAAAAAATAACAGGGGAATATTTACATTTCTTGATCTATTAAACAAAACGATAAATTATCTCGACGAATGACACCATGTTCTAGTACGGAAGCTAGCTTTACATTTTTGTTGGTGGTTTCATGGGTTTCATATCAACTTTTTGTAATTGTAGTTTACACGTACATATACCTCTTAACACTTGTTTGCTTTATTAAAAAAGTGTGTTGTTGTGATTTACGTCGAAATAAGTCAAAAACAACTTGAAACCCCATATAAAATCAAAAAGGAGAAACGGAAAAAAATTGAGCCTGTAAATGAACACAACTCAGAAACAAAAATAGCTATCTAATAATAAAAAAATTAAATTTGATTCTTGTGCATCTTCGTTGTAAAAATAGATAATACTTTTTTGATCTTAGGTACAGATATAATTTTAATGGTCTTCCGAAAAACTTTCTTCAGTTTCCATATCAGATTCAAAATCAGTCTCAATGTCACTGTTTAAGTTAATTATAAATCTATCAGTTGCCTCATCCAAAGTAACTTCTCTGTCATAAAATTTAGATTCCCACATTTTAGCATTATTACAACGAGATTGCCACTCCTCTTTAAAAAACGTATCAAAAAAGTCTTCACACAACAGTTGTACGTCTTGCCTCTTAAATGTAGTGTTGTTACTAGCTACATATTGTTTCAATGATGCCCACACTAATTCGATCGGATTAAGATCGGGATGATACGGTGGCAAACGCAAACAACTAAAACCATGTTCATTTATCATTTCTTCAATTGCATACCTCTTAAATCGTGACTTATACAATAGCACTAAACTGTATAATTGCGTTTTGAGCATGTCCCCTTCGTAAGCAATATTATGATTCCTTAACCAATCCTGCATGTCAGCTTTTTTAGAAGTTGACGTTGGTGCTTTATTTACCTGGACATTATGGTAAGGAGCATTATCAACAATAATGACGCTTCTTGGAGGGAGGTTCGGAAACAGCTTTTCTTTCAACCATTTAGAAAAATTATTAAAATTAATTTCATCGTGGTAGTCTCCACTTTTGGTTCCAGATTTGAAAATTAACCGGGCCTTCGGAATACAGCCCATTTCACCTCCTGCATGGACAATAATTAGTCTATCACCTTTATTAATTGGTTTCTTTAATCCCTCATTTGAATTATCACTCCAAGCTTTCTGATGTGTGTGGGAGGCATGAATGTATGTTTCATCTAAGTAGACAATTGGACGGCCCTCTGCTCGATAACTTTTTAAACGAATCAGATAGTCTAAACGTAGCTTTTGAATATCAAACCTTTCCATTAATATTTTTCTATTTGTTTTTGTTTTCCGCCAACGAAATCCTAGCGACTTTATTATTTTTCTTAAACTTTCATAGCTTCCTTTGTACCTTGTAGCTTCTCTAAATTTAGTCAGAATTGTTTTTAATGTTGGAACAATATTTTCCGAGATTAACATGAACAGAATAATTCTTTTTAAAATACCTTTGTCAGCTTCATCTATATCATTAACTGTTTTTGGTTTTTTAATGGTTTTTCTTGGTGATGAAAATTCCGATATCTCACGGTTATCGATTCTTTTTTTCTCTCCAGAAATGCGGACGACAATGTTTTTAGATACTCCTGTGGCTGCAGCAACACGATCATTTACATTTTTAAATGGTATTGAAGGTGAATTAAAGTTTCCTTCTCTTCTCATAAACTCTATAACATTGGCTATTATTTCGCGAGATTGACTGTTAATCACGCGGCCTCTTAATTTGCTATTAAACTCCATACTTAGGTTCTATTAAACTGTAATGAGCAAAAAACACAAACGAAAATAAAATAAATGTTTTAGCGAAATTTACATCTGACATTTACGTCTGAATAAAATAGTGAAATACTTAATGCGCAGAGTGTACTTTCATTGCGTAAATCCGTCGGCCCCGCCAACCGATGCCTCTCAGTAGTGCTTTTTCTGTCTAGCCGTCGAAAGCCTCTAGAAATTTGATGAACTGTACTTTTTAGCTGTTATCTTAAGTAGGTTTTAAAACTTAAACTTAGTTTTAAAAAGTGTTTTAAGATTATACTTTAAATTAAATTGATCCCAGAACCTTTTAGGTACATTGTCTACAATTTTACAACATAACTCTTATAATTTATTTAATCTAGTAAACGATAGGGCTCTTTTAAAACTACATAGTTTTAATAAGAACTAAAGTTTGTTTTTTGAGCATAACCTAGCTTTTCAATACAATCATATTATGTTGACGTTGAAAGATAAATTGTTCAAAGCAAAGAAAAGTGACAATTTGCATAGATAATGAAAAAAAATATATATGTATCTCCTTCTCCTCAGTGTTTAATAAGTTCATTGTGTTCCATTGTTTAACAAATATCAAAACACTTCTACGCTCCTAATATTCTGGAAATGATCAGTGAAAGAGAAAAATGGTTATTATATTATTACTAATTTTTATATTTTGAATGACTTGTTCGTAGAGTAAATACAAAGCTCAAGAGTGAGGTTAGGTTATGCCCGTCTGATTGAACCTATGAATGTTTTATTAATGTTTTCGTTTTTACTATGGTTTTATGAAACGCTTTAAAAAGTGTAACAGGAGCCTTTTAAAACTGGAAAGTCCTAAAAAGTATTTTTTTTTGTTTATTAGTTTTAATAGCTAATGTTCGTTTTTAGGTTCAGGTAGAACACAATGAGGAAATCCTCCATTTTAAATATGACAGTGGCTGTTTAACCACATATTATGTAAAATAGTACCTGTCTACCCTGTACCTAAAGGATATTCAAATAAATTATGGTCAAAGTCCAAATATTTCTAAAATCTTTCGATTTTAGTAATGACGTATTTTGTGTACCAAAGACTGTGATAGTGTGTCAATGACAATAGTGTGTCAATGATAACAGTGTACCAATGACAACATTGTGCCACTGAACATAAATCACACACTATCCCTATAGGTTCCAAACCTGAGCCTCAAATATGTGTTAAACCTTCAATAATAATAGTTTAGAGGATACAGCATAGACACCGTTTTGGGTTAAAAAAGCTATTAGAATTTTCAATTGAGAAAATACACCTCTTATCATTAACACTAAAGCTTGTCCGGCAAAAATTGCCTTTCTTTTGTTGTTTCCGAAGTCTTCAAACCCTTCATTAATTTTTTTTAATATTCGATGGTTTTCTTAATTGCCATCTCATCGTACAACAAAATACATTTTTTGTCCTGCTTTGTCATTGTCTCTGATTTAATTCGAATATTTTCAAATATCCGATAGCGTTTGTTTGTCCTTTCATATTATTCAGTTATTTTGAAAGCAAAAACTCATAACCTTGCAAAAATTTAAAATAATAACTAAGAAGAATTCGCATACCTCATCCCAGTCTGTTTATAAGATCGTTGAAGTCAAAAAGAGAAAAGTTGTAATATATCTATGATACTATATACATATTGTGGTGATCGAAAACAGCGCGCGAAAATAAATTTTAATAATTTCATGGCCAATCATCCATATTCCACACCACAATACGTTATGCACGAACTCGGATCATGTAATATATCTCAAAGTTGACAACAACAAAATATGATTACATCATTCAACGGCAGCATCATAAAACGCGGATCAATCAAAGCCGGAGAGTAACAAAACACAACGGTTCTGTTCACTCAGTTAGTTTTTTAAATATTAATTATATAAGATGTTTTTGAGGTTTAACCAGTACAGAACGAAATAATTTTAAATTTCCTTTTCTTGAACTTATAGCATAAGTTACGGATAAAAAAATTTGTAACTACTGTAAAAATTGC